CAAAACCTGTCCTGTTGTCGCGGCAGCTTCGCTCTTTGCCGTCCAGCCCCATAGCGTCAGAAGCGCGGAAAGGCCGAGCTCGCAGGAGTGAGTGAGATTGAGTTTTCCCACTTTCCGAGTACGTTCCACAAGCCGTTGTTTGCCCTGCGGTCTGGTTGGGCGTTGACAGTGTATGAGCACTCCTGGGAGGGGCACTGTATACGCAGGCGCCCAGAGTCTGAGTTTTTTACATTGTGAGATCGGCCCACGGTTGCGCACAGGGCTAAGGATGCCATCAAGATGCTGTGCTTGTCAGGGAACGTGCTCCCTTTGATCAAACTAACGGCATTGCGACGACGCTCTCTTCACCTCTTCATCACTCTAGCGCTCCTAAGAAAAGGGGCTCATAAAAGTGGTACGTAACAAACATTCCAAAAAAGAGTGGTACGTAACAAAACTTCTCATAAATATACCGTGTGCACCAGGATGCGTATGCAGTAGCGATATGCAACAGTTAACACGGTCGCCACACTTGGAGATGTTTCGTGCGCCACTTCAGTGGAGTGCCCAAGTGTGCCGTACAATGTTTCTGTTCTTGTCCAAGACACGATGCGCCGTTGTCCACGATTGCACACTGTCCAGCATATCCAGATGCCATCTGCGCATGTGACGACTCGCAACCATCCAAATCGATTGAGAGGTATGCTTGTAAGGCCCAGAGGTACGGAGAGACAAATTTCTCAGAGTGGAATGGTAGCTGCGGTTTTCAGGTAATCTTATGTCCATTTCATACCCGGTGGCCTACATTGAAGTCTGCTTGACCTTGTACCTACCGTACTGTTATTGAAACTGAATGCATCACGAACGATGCAGAACTTGACGATCCCCCGCCTTGATGGCGCGTTGCTTTTTTATTTCCGGAACCGGATCCATAAGGAGGACAAGCTAAGGTCTGTGAACGCTGTTCGGTGAATAGGATCGGGCTTAGAAGCCGCTTTCACATGTTTTCACGCGCGATGGACAGACGGCAGCATAACACCCGGACCCGTGTGACACGTGGCACTTTTCGTGTTCGTGGGTCTGGCCGGCATTAATGGGAGGGTGGCATTAGTAAATGCAGCACTAATGGGAGTCCCCCCCTGTACATAAATCAATGTTTCATGGTTCTTTTCATGTTTTAGGATGAGTGCGTCTTCCCTCTCCAAGAATCACACGAACATTCATTCACGAAAGAACAAGCGAAAGCACATCATCTCACCCTACCCACACGCACGCACACGACCGTCGCCACTGTTTCCGCTTTCGTCGACAACGACAAGAGTGCCGCGCGCTGAACGCGGCCTTCAACCTTCGCGTCCCTGTTTTTCTAACAGCCGCTGCCGTTCTCACGCATAACACACTCCTAACACACTCCGCACCTCACCAACTTGTCTTTAGCTATTCACAAAAAATGCAGGAAAGCTTGCGGCAAGAGACGGGACCAAGTAGAAAACGGCGAAAGATACGGTCTCCCGATGTGTTCATAAGCCATGCTGGCCCGGACAAGCTACACATCGCACGTCCTCTTTCCAAGAAATTGCATGCTCAAGGTTTAAATTGCTTCCTCGACAAAACCTCGATGGAGCCCGGGGATTGCGGACCATACGAAATGGAGACGGCTATGGAGTCTGCGAAGGTCGCTGTTTTCATTCTTTCTCCCGAGTTTGCAGCTCGAAAATGGACGATGAGGGAACTGCGTTGCTTCCTACGCCGACGGAGAGAGGCGATAGAGAGTGGGATGCGGGCACCGACACTGATTCCGGTGTTTTACAGATTAAGTATTCGGGAATGCAGAGAGCTGGAGCCCGATCGGTACCAGGATGATGAAGGAAAGAATATTTTTGAAGTGGAGAAGTTTTTTAGCGAGAAACGACAGCGCGAAGCGAGCACGGAACTGGTGAAGAGAGAGCTACAAGAGTTGGCAGATATCACTGGGATAGAAAACGACGAAGAGGCAACGAACGACCTGGAAGATGAATTCGGCCATCTTGCAAGGGAAAATCTTGTGAAACGAGTATCTCGGTGGGTGAAAAAGAAAAGTGAGGAGGACTCTAGTGATGAAGTGAGAGAAGTTTTGAATGCAAGTGGATGTACGTATGATTTGTTCAGGCCCTGTATACTCGCAGAGCTCAATCCCGAAGAAATATATCTGCAACTAAATTCTCGGGGGATCGATGGATCACCGAATACTTGTGAGGCGCGGCTAAAGGAGGCCGTGCTAAGTACCGATAGGAATACATATATAGGAGCGACGGCAACGGGGAAGGGCGGAGTCGGAAAGACATGCGCTCTTCGAGCGATTGCGCACGACGATGACGTCAAGGCTCGGTTTTCAGGCGGAGTGTACTTGATGTCTTTGGGGAAAGATGCCAACGTAGGGCGGCTGATTGAGCAACTGTGTATAGCCGTAGAGGCGTCTGGTGGCAACCAGGCGGCTGCGAAAATGCGAGAGCAAAGCGAGTTGAGCAGGGTACTGACCAAGATGCGAGCATGGTTCAACACACGTGTATGCCTGTTCATTATTGATGATTTGTGGGCCGTGAATGGTATAGATGCGTGTATTCTTCAGAAGTTGTCCACTCTCGCTGCCGCCACAGGAGACATGCGAGAGAGGAGGAGCAGGCTTCTGTACTCCACGAGGGACTCAAAGCTGAAACACGTCGGTAAGCAAGTGACTTTCGAGCCGAGGGAAAGGGAAGGGGGCGATTCAGTTCACATGCTCATGCTTGCGGGCGGGGCGAACCCGGAGGAAGCGAATGATCCGAGATGCAAAAAGGCCGTGAGTGAAATATTGAAAATGTGCGCTGGTTTGCCGCTTGCTCTGAACGTAGCCGGGACGGGTGTCAGGTACATGAGAGATAGATGGGAGGGAGAAAAGTCACAAGCGTGGGAGGCATACCTTTCGAAGATGAAGAGGCGTAACACGCTTCGTAGTGAGAGTCCAGAGGATGGGTATTCGTCGTTAGACGCGACATTACATGCGTCACTAGATATTGTGGAGTCCGGCATAGGGAGCGATGGGGAGAGGTTACGTCAGTTTTCGTTTCGAAAGATACATCGGAGTCTGTGTGTTATGAAGAAGCAAGACGGGATGCCTTTGGCGTTGGTAAGAGAGTTGTGGGAGATGGACTACGAATCGGCTGAAAAGTATGCGAAGCAGATGGAAAGGGTTGGATTAGTAGACCTTCATTACGACAAGGATTGTGAGTGGGTACGGATGCATGATCTGACGCACGATTTTGCGGTGCAGGAGGCGCAGAAGGAAGAAAGTGTAACGTTCTGGTATAAGAAGTTGGCAGATGTATGCAGGCAGGGAAGAGGACTGCTTGCTATAACTGAGAGCGAGGGCAGAGAGAGCAAGGATGCAAGAGAGAAGTATGTTTTCGAGAGCATATATCGCGTTCTGAAACAGGGCGGGTGTGTGGAGGAGCTTAAGAGACTATTTTTGAGTGCGCGATGGGTGAAGACAGTGATACAGAAAGGCGGGGTTTGGCAATACGGGGAAGCTGTAAAGGATCTAAGTAGCTTTTTGAGGAACACGGGAGGAAGCGAGAGCCTTTCAAGGGGTACGGGAGAAGAAGATTCGGTGTATGCTATGGAATTGATGATGAGAGCTGCACGACTGAGTGTACCTTTTTGTGGTGAAGGCAGTGCAGGGATTTACTTTCAACTGTACGGAAGAATCAAGCACAGGGCATCAGAATTGGGTAGCGTGCAAAGGATACTCGAGGAAATCGAGAGACACGCACCACGGCCGTGGGTGCGACCTGTGAGTGAGTGTGTAGAGCGAGCCGATGGAAGGTTGGTGGAGCAGATTGTTCTGCCATATTTCGGTTCCAGAGAAATTCAAGTGGGCATGGATTCCAGTGGTCAAGTGTATGGATGTCAGGTGAAGGAGTCCGGGGCAGAAGTAACAGTTTTCACGCAATCTGCTGAGAAGGAGACGAAGATTGTTCGATTAGAAGGCGAGTTCGAAACGGAGAGCCAGAGTCCAGGGGACGTTGAAGCAAGAAGTGTAACCTCTGAAGTGACTGAAAAAAAACGGAGCGTGACGAGAGCTACGTGCGCAACTTTCTGTGAGAGGAAGGGGTATGTTGTTGTGGGATGTGAAGACGGAACGTTAAGGCTGTGGAGTACGTCAGAGAAGAAAGTATTGAGGAGTTTCCACGGTCATAGGTCGAAAGTGGCTTGCGTTGCGATGAGTGGGGACGGAAGACTTGTAGTATCTGGATCGGAGGACAGCAAGAAGATTCGGGTGTGGGACGTGGAGACGGGAGCAAAGGTCGGGAAGGTGCTAGGTGGACACACGGGTCTTGTCTATAGCGTTGCGATGAGTGGGGACGGAAGACGTGTGGTATCTGGATCGCATGACGAGAGCGTGCGGTTGTGGGACGTGGAGACGGGAGCACAAGTCGGGGAGGCGTTAGTTGGACACACGAGTTCGGTGCTTTGCGTTGCGATGAGTGGGGACGAAAGACGTGTGGTATCTGGATCGGAGGACAGGAGCGTGCGGGTGTGGGACGTGGAGACGGGAGCACAAGTCGGGGAGGCGTTAGTTGGACACACAAGTTCGGTGCTTTGCGTTGCGATGAGTGAGGACGGAAGAATTGTGGTATCTGGATCCGGGGACAAGAGCGTGCGGGTGTGGGATGTGGAGACGGGAGTACAAGTCGGGGAGGCGTTAGTTGGACATACGGGTTATGTGTATAGCGTTGCGATGAGTGAGGACGGAAGACGTGTGGTATCTGGATCGAGGGGCAAGAGCGTGCGGGTGTGGGACGTGGAGACGGGAGCACAAGTTGGGGAGGCGTTAGTTGGCCACACGGATGGGGTGCTTTGCGTTGCGATGAGTGAGGACGGAAGACGTGTGGTATCTGGATCTGGGGACGTGCGGGTGTGGGACGTAGAGACGGGAGCACAAGTCGGGGAGGCGTTGGTTGGACACAAGAGGGAAGTGAATAGCGTTGCGATTAGTGGGGACGGAAGATGTGTGGTATCGGGATCGTTTGACAAGAGCGTGCGGGTGTGGGACGTGGAGAGAGGGATCACACTTTATGTCGGGAGGGTAAAGGATTTGGGAGAAATCAAGAGTCGGTTCCTGAGGACGGAAGACTTGGGTACTGGTGCTTCTCGCGCAGGACGAACATCACACATTTTTTCAAGGGAGGGAGGAATTGTGCAAAGGCGAGAGGATGGGTCTGAGGCTGTCTTGGCCGAGTTGGACGATCCAGAAGACTTGCAGATAGACCACGATCACGGGGTCGCAGTAGCAAGGGTGGGTCATCTGGTTGCTATCATGAAGCTAGTGGTGTAAATTGCGGAAAGCGATGGACGCTTGACGCCCGAGACATTAGTACTGCGTTGCAACTGTGCGAGGTGGTAGTGGGGAGGGTGTTTTTGTGTTGTTGTGAGTGAATGCGTGAGAAGCTTGGTTGACGGACGTTGCAGTGCCTGGATGTGTATGTATAAACTAGCGACGTGCTTCCCCTCATCACTCAGTAAACAAGTGTAGGGATACGAGCGGACCTGACGTGACATAAGTGTTTCATGGCGATGGCTTGTCCTCCACGCAGACAGCGGACTAAGAAACGTTCACGGCGGCATCAAGCGTTCGGACAGAAGCGACAGAGGTGCCACGCGGCAGGTCTCTGAAGGTACAGTATTGTGATGCATTGACACAGGTGTGCACGCACGGTGCACGCGGATTCGGGGTTGAGGTTAGCTGGGAATTGAAAGGATGGGAATTGAAAGGACCTGTACGCTTCTCAGGCGCGCTTTTATGCTCGCGGCCTCCCTAACGGCGACGTCCTCGTTCGCAGGCATGATCGCGCCGAGCGCGAAGGGACGTTGCGATCGCAAGAGTATTGGTTGCCTCGCGACGCAGGTACGATGGGCGCGTGTGCGGAGGGCGTGAACGACGGCGGATTTGACGGCGACCGGCGGGTGGTCGACAGGCGTGGCCGCGGTTGAAGACGGATGTACAGGTGGACAGGGGGACAGGGTTGCTTCGTTCGGAGTGTGAGCGATGCTTTTTGGTGAGGTGAGGTGGGTAAAGGTAGAGTGGGGAGGCAACGGAGGGGATCGGCCGGAAGAGTGTTGAAGGAAACGAGAAGATTTTTATGACCTACTGTAATGATTCTAGGCCCAGAGGCGCTTACCGTTAGCTTTTAGCCGAGCGATTAAATCGCCCGAAAGGATAGCCACTGTTATCCGTGGAGGTACAATTTCAATTACTTTTGAACGCATAATCATTACTCTTCGTGACTCCGCACTGTTGTCGTTTATGAAAAAGCAAAATATTTCGAAATACCCACACTTTTTCCGCTTGTGGCGATATGATATCGGCCTCGATTATCGTTCTCGACTCTTCTCTCGACTGCGATCGTAGTTTGCGGCGCATGAAATCCGAGCAAGTTGCTTCAAGCCTTTTCTTTTTCTTTATCACAGGGTATCATAAGGGCTTCAAGCATAGAAAAAAAGTTTCTCACGAAACACTTGTCGCTGTTAGTAGGCCTGCCGAAAGTGCCATAGAGAGTGTTTATTTCCACATTTCAATTGTACAACTAGCGGTCGTCCAATAGCGTCTCGTTCAAGCGCCGGTTTCTGGCAGCGTCAACCTCATTTGTTCATTCCTCGTTTCCTGCAACATGATTGGACAAGGTGAGACAGGATGGCCCCCAGATGCAACTGAACTCTGATTCTAACCGTCCCGTTGCCCGTTGCATTGCATATCAAACGGGCTGTACCTATCCGCCGAGAAAGTTACGGCGCCCCGCAGTGCACCCCTGTCGCAGTCCCCGTCCCGCCGTTTGCCGCCCCGAGAGCATCACCCACCTCCTTTCTTTGCTGCCATCATCATGCCGCACGTCACATGCACGTCGCACTGGAAAGAGGGCTCATGATAACAGCCATGAGGTCGAAGGCACGTTGTCGTCTCGCTGCTTCGGCGCCCACGCCCTCCGCTTAGTGCCCGAGATATTAGTACTGCGTTGCAACTGTGCGAGGTGGTAGTGGGGAGGGCTTTTTGTTTTGTTATGAATTCGTGAGAAGCCTGCTTGATGGACGTTGCAGTCCATGTATGCGTCAGTATGAAGTATCGACCTGCTTCCCTTTCAACACTCAGTAAACAACTCTAGAGGGATGCAAGCAGACTTGACGTGTAATAAGTGTTCCATGGCAAAGGCTTGTCCTCCACGCAGAGGGACGACTGAGAAACAATCACAGCAGCGTCAAGTATTCGGACAGAAGCGACAGAGGCGCCACCTCGCTCCCTCCCGGCACGCAGAAGATATTGTGATCCAATGACCCACGCCAATGACCCACGTGGGTTTGGTGCCCACGGATTCAACATGGAGGTTAACTGACGAGTGAAGGGATATCGCTGTCTCTCAGCAGTCAAGTGAACTCTTGTGCTCACTATAATATCTTGAGCAATAACGTGCAGGCACCTGGCCATCAGATGCGTCAGTCGCGTGCGAGAAAAGATGTAGAGGTAGTTGTATTGGTGAAATCAAGGGTGTGTTGATTAGAGCAAGCGTTGCCGACCGGCTCAAGGCAGGGCGCGAGTCTCAAAGTTGAGAGGATATTGATACACGTGCACAGGTCGCACAGGTGCACACGTGTGAGAAGAAAAAAGGCAAACGAGACCATAACATTCAAGTTTACCATAAACTTGGCCTTCTATGTACAGTACCCTTGGGTACTCTTCACGACGTGCAGACACTGTTTCGCTGCCGTTCCCCTCCTCCTTTCTGCCCCACCTCCTTCGTGCTGCCAACAAGCAGCGGCCTGCCAAGTTTCTGCCATCCGACAACCTCCTTCCACCTGCACCCTCTCCGCGAGCGCCCTCGTCCGCCGCACCAGCCGCTCGTTCTCGCGCTCCACCCCGCGCATCCACGCCGTCTTCCGCGCCTCCCGCATCACACCACCAGGTGGCCGGGCGCGCGTGTTGATCGCGCACACCCGCTGGGCGGCCGCATACGCGCCGCGCCATCATGAGGCACGTTGCAAACCTGATCCGGACCCCGGTCCGGATCTCGATCCCCGCTCCCCCGCGGCAACGAGGCGACTGGTGCGAGGCATGACAGTGTAAGGCGGCGGGCGGTCGCAGGAGACGCGCGGGCGGGCGATAAGGGCACGTTGGAAAAGCCGGAGGATTAGCCCGGGCGGGAAGGCTCTGAGGGCGGTGAGGGAATGCGGAGCGGAGGGCGGAGGATGATGACGAAAGGCGGCGTGACGTACATTGAGACTAATATCTACGCGGGGTGCCACGGGAGGCGGCACTGTGTGTATACAGTGCTGCATACTATGCACAACACATAACGTATGTACAGTACGATGCTCAGGCGGGTGCAGTGCATACGGGACTGTATGTATGTATGTATGTACAACGCATAACGTATGCACGATGCTAAGACGGTGCAGTGCATACAGCGTTCCCCTTTTGTAGTACGCGCGGCCGCAACATTTGAAAGGCAGCAATGCGGCACGCCGCCACAGGACCCAGGACCCAGGACCCAGGACGCCAACAATTCAACAATTTCGTTATTTCTCGGCCCCCCTTCTCTCACACGTGTATTCCATTGCCCCCCAACGTCACCCACCGCCCAAATCTTGCCACCGAGCGACATCGCAGCCCGAGCAGCCATTCTTCTTCTCTACCCTTGCCCAACGCCTATATTAACATACCGCTCCTTGAGGAGTTCCTTGAGGAGCGAGGCGCAGTTTGAGGTAGAACTACCCCACAACACATCAACACACCACCTACTATATCCCACATCGATCCAACTCCCTACCCCCCCTCACCAACCGCCCCCGCGCGAAGGAAGGTCACAGCCTCCTCGCCCAGTGGCTTTTCGTGCTTGCGCCTCTCGGGCGTAGCGCGGTGCAAGCGCCTTTCGGTCCGGAATAGGTGCGGCCGACCTTGGCCTTTGTTGTTCAGCATTTCATAGCACTACCTGCACGTTTCGGAGTTTTTCGGCCGAAAACTATCCTCGCTGTTGCTAGTGGGTACAGAGTACTCTTTCGCCCAATACAGCACTAAATATATGTACGACATGTTGCCAAGAAATGCGTATGCAATAGCGATATGCAACAGTTAACACGGTTGCCACGCTTGGAGATGTTTCGTGCGCCACTTCAGTGGAGTGCCCAAGTGTGCCGTACAATGTTTCTGCTCTTGTCCGAGACACCATGCGCTTTTGTCCACGATTGCACACTGTCCAGCATACCCAGATGCCATCTGCGCATGTGACGACTCTCAACCATTCTCCAAATCGATAGAGGGGTATGCTTTTAAGGCCCAGAGATACGGAGAGACAAATTTCTCAGAGTGGAATGGTAGCTGCGGTTTTCGGGTAATCTCATGTCCATTTCAAACCTCGTGGCCTACATTGAAGTCCACTTACCTTTGTACCTAACTTAACCTTGTACCTATCGTACTGTTATTGAAACTGAATGCATCACGAACGATGCAGAACTTGACGGTCCCCCGCCTCCCCCGCCTCCCGGTGATGTGCACTGGTTTTGAGTAATGCGACCGTGAATCGCACCATGCGCGCTGTGCTCCCGCACGCGTGCTACTTGTATGACACCTGGGTTAGGGGCATACCTTTTAGTGCACAAGCCACGAACATCGATCCAGTATGTTCTGGGAGAGGGCGAGAGCGCAGGATAGGAGTACGTTTTCGAGAAACATATACCGTGTTCTGGGATAGGGTGGGTGTGTAGACGAGCTGAAGAGACTATTTTTGAGTGCGCGATGGGTGAAGAAAGTAGTACAGAGAGGAGAGGCGGGGTTTGGCAATACGAAGAAGCTTTAAAGAGATTGAGTAGAGACTTGAACGGGAAAAGAGGAAGCGGGAAGGCGGGAAGGGGACGGGTCGATGAGGACGCAGTGGATGCAATGATTTTAATGATGCGGGCTGCGCGACTGAGTGTACGATTATGTCGTGAAAACAGTGCCGGGATTTACTTTCAGCTGTATGGGTGAGTGAAGCACAAGGCACGGGATTCAGATTGTGTACGAAAGATGCTGGAGGAAATCGAGAGATACGCACCACGGCCGTGGGTGCAGCCTGTGAGTGGGTGTGTAGCGCGAGCCGATGGAAGGTTGGCGGCGCAGATTGTTCTGCCATATTACGGTGCGCGAAACGTTCAAATAGGTATGGATTCCAGCGGTGAAGTGTATGGATGTCAGTTGAGGTCGTCCGGGGCAGAAGTAACAGTTTTCACGCAATGTGCTGAGAAGGAGACGAAGATTGTTCGATTAGGAGGCGAGTTAAAAACGGAGAGCCAGAGCGCAGGGGACGTTGAAGCAAGAAGGGCAACCTCCGAAGTGACTGCAGAAACCCGAGTGTGACGAGAGCTACCTGCGCAACTTTCTGTGAGAGCAAGGGGTACGTTGTTTTGGGATGTGAAGACGGGACGTTGAAGCTGTGGAGTACGTCGGAGAGGAAAGTATTGAGAAGTTTCCACGGTCATAGGTCGGTACTGTAGTGGGTTGCGTTGCGATGAGGGGAGAAGGAAGACGTGTGGTGTCTCGAGCGGGGGTTTACAGTGACCCGGTCACCCCAATTTTATGTCAACCAGAGCAATAAAAGGCAAGCAAGGTTATCCGGGGAAATGTCTCCTCCTCCCTCGGGTCTCGTCGCGTCTACAGTGACCCGGTCACCCCACTTTATGTCAACTACAGAGTAGAGCAAACTCTGGTGCGCGCCCCTCCGCTGCGCCGTCGTCGGTAGAATAGTGATTAATCATTAATTCTACAATGGTACGTACCCTAAATCATCATCAGCCAACAATCGAGCGATGGTGGAGGTCATAGAGCCATTTCATTGGACTGTTGGCTTTCTCCAAATTACAGCCAAATTACAGACAAGAGCCTGCGCTCAACATGGCCGTGTAAACGTTATGCTTTCCTCCAAGTTGGTTTGGTGTGACGTCAACACAGTTGTGAGGGAATTTTAGTGCAAAATTACATTTTGCAGTACTGTAGTGGGAGATGTTATACTGTAGTGGGAGATTTTATATGAATTTTAGGGAAGCGCGCGCAGACTGTCTGGGAAATCCGGGCCGGATGCGTGGATGCTTCTAGAAGGGATGGGGAGGAAATCAAAGCGTGGAAGGTGGCCGAGTGTCGACAGATCGGACACACCGGACTCTACGGCGAGACTCAACACCCCACTTTCCCAGAAAACACCACCAACCCCCTTCGACCGAACAACAACAATACGTAAATCAACGTTTCATGATTCTTTTCATGCTTTACGATTAGTGCGTCTTTCCTCGCTGGAATCACACGAACATTCATTCACGAAAGAACAAGCGAAAGCACATCAGCTCACCCTACCCACACGCACGCACACGACCGTCGCCACTGTTTCCGCTTTCGTCGACAACGACAAGAGTGCCGCGCGCTGAACGCGGCCTTCAACCTTCGCGTCCCTGTTTTTCTAACAGCCGCTGCCGTTCTCACGCATAACACACTCCTAACACAATCCGCACCTCACCAACTTGTCTTCAGCTATTCACAAAAAAATGCAGGAAAGCTTCCAGCAAGAGGCGGGACCAAGTAGAAAACGGCGAAAGATACAGTCTCCCGATGTGTTCATAAGCCATGCTGGCCCGGACAAGCTACACATCGCACGTCCCCTTTCCGAGAAATTGCAAGCTCAAGGTTTAAATTGCTTCCTCGACAAAACCTCGATGGAGCCCGGAGACTGCGGAGAGGATGAAATGACTCAAGCTATGGAGTCTGCGAAGGTCGGTGTTTTCATACTTTCTCCCGAGTTTGCAGCTCGAAAGTGGACGATGAGGGAACTGCGTTGCTTCCTACGCCGACGGAGTGGGATGCGACCACCGATATTGATTCCGGTGTTTTACAGACTAAGTATTCGGGAATGCAGAAAGTTGGAGCCCAATCGGTACTCGGATGATGAAGGAAATAATATTTTTCAAGTTGAGGAGTTTTTTAGCGAGGAACGACAGCACGAAGCGAGCACAGATACGGTGAAGGGGGAGCTACAAGAGCTGGCAGGTATCACTGGGATTGAAAATGAAGAAAGGGCAACAAACCTGCTGGAAGATGAATTCGGCCCTCTTGCAAGGGCACATCTTGTGGAGCGAGTGTTTCTGTGGGTGAAAAAGAAAAGTGAGGAGCAAGAAGACGACCGCCTTCACGATCGTATTCTACGACCCAGCACGAGCATCGATACTCGCGCGGCAGTCGAGCAAGAAGCGGACCACCTTCACGATGGTGTTCAACAAGTAAGCGCGGCCGTCGAGTCGATCAGGGGAGGAAGGGGTGATGTGTTCAGGGCGTCAATAAGAGCCGAACGTAATCCTGCGTCGATATGTGTGAAGCTTGATTCTAAGGGGAACGATGGATTCCCGAACACGTGTGAGTCGCTTCTAAAAGCGGCTGTGCTACGGAGAGATAGGAACGAGCAAGTGGGTGCGACAGCAGTGGGACAGGGTGGAGTCGGGAAGACATGTGCCCTACGAGCGATTGCGCATGATGTTGAGATTAAGGCGGAGTTTTGGGGAGGAGTGTACTTCATGTCATTGGGGAAAGACGGAAACGTGGGAGGGCTGATTGAAGAACTGTGCCTGATTGTGGAAGCGTCCGGTGGCAACCAGACTGCTGCGAAAATGCGAGAGGAGAGGGATTTTAGAAGGGTGTTAGCGAAGGTACAAGCGTGGTTTTGTAGTCATGTGTGTCTGTTCATCATTGATGATGTGTGGGTGGTGAATGATATAGACGCGAATATCCTTCAAAAGTTGTCTGTTCTCGCTGACACTGCGGGGGGCAGCGGGGAAAGGAGGAGCAAACTACTGTACTCCACGAGGGATAGGGAGCTGCGTCAGCTTGGGGAGCGGGTTGCTTTCGAGCCGAGAGAGACAGAAGGGAAAGAAGCAGTTGACATGCTTGTGCACGCGAGTGGGGCGAATCGAGGGGAAGTGGAAGATGCGAGATGCAAGGAGGCCGTGAGTGAAATACTGGAAATGTGTGGCGGATTGCCGCTTGCCCTGAATGTGGCAGGAACGAGTGTGAGGTACATGAGGGAAAGATGGGAGGAAGAAGTATCAGAAGCATGGGGGGAGTACCTTTCGAGGATGAAGAGGCGTAACACGATTCGTGGGGAGAGTCCGAAGGACGGATATTCGTCGTTGGATGGGACATTGCATACGTCACTAGATATCCTGGAGTCAGATGTGGGAAGGAGTGGGGAGACATTTGGTGATATTTCGTTTCGAAAGATACACCGGAGTCTGTGCGTTATGAAGAAGCAAGACCGGATACCTTTGAGTTTGGTTGGAGATTTGTGGGAGCTGGACGAGGTGGAGACGGAATGGTATGCAAAGGAGATGGAAAGGGTTGGATTAGTGGAACTGCAGTATAAGAAGGGCTGTGGTGGGTTGCGGGTGCATGATCTGACGCACGATTTTGCGGTGCAGGAGGCGCAGAAGGAAGAAAGTGTAATGGTCTGGTACAAGAAGTTGGCAGATGTATGCAAGCAGGGAAGAGGACTGCTTGCTATAACTGAGAGCGAGGGCAGAGAGAGCAAGGATGCAAGAGAGAAGTATGTTTTCGAGAACATATATCGCGTTCTGAGACAGGGCGGGTGTGCTGAGGAGCTGAAGAATCTATTTTTGAAAGCGCGATGGGTGAAGACAGTGATACAGAGAGGAAGTGTGTGGCAATACGAGGAAGCTGTAAAGGATCTAAGTAGCGTTTTGAGGAACAGGGGAGGAAGCGAGAGCCTTTTAAGGGATACGGGAGAAGAAGATTCGGTGTCTGCGATGGAATTGATGATGAGAGCTGCGCGACTGAGTGTACTGTTTTGTGGTGAAAGTAGTGCCGGGATTTACTTTCAACTGTACGGAAGAATCAAGCACAAGGCATCAGAATTAGGTAGCGTGCAAAGGATACTCGAGGAAATCAAGAGATACGCACCACGGCCGTGGGTGCGGCCTGTGAGTGAGTGTGTAGCGCGAGCCGATGGAAGGTTGGTGGAGCAGATCGTTCTGCCATATGCGAGAGGTGCAATTCAAGTGGGCATGGATTCCAGTGGTGAAGTGTATGGATGTCAGGTGGAGTTCTCCGGGGCAGAAGTAACAGTTTTCAGGCAATCTGCTGAGAAGGAGACGAAGATGGTTCGATTACAAGGCGAGTTCGAAACGGAGAGCCAGAGCGCAGGGGACGTTGAAGCAAGAAGTGTAACCTCCGAAGTGACTAGAAAAAAACGGAGCATGACGACAGCTACGTGCGCAACTTTCTGTGAGAGGAAGGGGTATGTTGTTGTGGGATATGAAGACGGGACGTTAAGGCTGTGGAGTACGTCGGAGAGGAGAGTATTGAAAAGTTTCCGCGGTCATAGGTCGGAAGTGCGTTGCGTTGCGATGAGTGGGGACGGAAGACGTGTGGTATCTGGATCGGAGGACATGAGCGTGCGGGTGTGGGATGTGGAGACGGGAGCACAAGTCGGGGAGGCGTTAGTTGGACACACGAGGGAAGTGCTTTGCGTTGCGATGAGTGGGGACGGAAGACGTGTGGTATCTGGATCGTATGACGAGAGCGTGCGGGTGTGGGACGTGGAGAGGGGAGCACAAGTCGGGGAGGCGTTAGTTGGACACACGAGGGAAGTGCTTTGCGTTGCGATGAGTGGGGACGAAAGACGTGTGGTATCTGGATCGTGGGACATGAGTGTGCGAGTGTGGGACGTGGAGAGGGGAGCACAAGTTGGGGAGGCGTTAGTTGGACACACGAGGTCGGTGTATAGCGTTGCGATGAGTGGGGACGGAAAACGTGTGGTGTCTGGATCGTTCGACAAGAGCGTGCGGGTGTGGGACGTGGAGACGGGAGCACAAGTCGGGGACGCGTTGGTTGGACATACGGGTATGGTGAATAGCGTTGCGATTAGTGGGGACGGAAGACGTGTGGTATCTGGATCGATGGTCGACAGCGTGCGGGTGTGGGACGTGGAGAGGGGAGCACAAGTTGGGGAGGCGTTAGTTGGACACACGAGGTCGGTGTATAGCGTTGCGATGAGTGGGGACGGAAAACGTGTGGTGTCTGGATCGTTCGACAAGAGCGTGCGGGTGTGGGACGTGGAGACGGGAGCACAAGTCGGGGACGCGTTGGTTGGACATACGGGTATGGTGAATAGCGTTGCGATTAGTGGGGACGGAAGACGTGTGGTATCTGGATCGTGGGACACGAGCGTGCGGGTGTGGGATGTGGAGACGGGAGCACAAGTCGGGGAGGCGTTGGTTGGACACACGGATGAGGTGGATAGCGTTGCGATTAGTGGGGACGGAAGACGTGTGGTATCTGGATCGTATGACAAGAGCGTGCGAGTGTGGGACGTGGAGACGGGAGCACAAGTCGGGGAGGCGTTAGTTGGACACACGGGCGAGGTGTGGAGCGTTGCGATGAGTGGGGACGGAAGACGTGTGGTATCTGGATCCGTGGACGAGAG